CACACACACACACACACACACACACACACACACACACACACACACACACACACAAAGGCTCATCACCAGGCCTGCAGACACCGTAGTTAAGCTATTTGTCTTCTCATCAGTTGCAAATTAGAGTACAGATTAGTGTTGAAAAGTCAGACTAAATGCAAAGAGGTCAATACCTTTTCAGGTAGTTTCTCTACAGCCACATGTGTACATCCACAGAGCACTTTATTAGGAACACTATAAGCTCGTCTACCAGTTGGAAAGTGAGTGGATCGATTCCTGACTCCCTCTGGTTATAAAGTGTGTAACTGAGTAGAAAAGCACCATTTAAGCACCAGTCCGTTTTTACCATTTAATACTCAGCTCAGGGCTCCCTTTACTCTCCAGACAGCATCTGTCAGTGGATTCCACATCTTTCTGCCAACACTGGGGGTTCTAGTCCTTTCATCTCAACGGCATTACATAATTTCTGTGTATTGGACAAACGTGCTGTCCGTCTGTAACCTTCATACATAGACGTGGGTCACGTGCTCAGTCTGTTGAGCTCCTTTTTGTGGTTATCTGACCTTTCTCATTGGATCTCCCTCATCTGTCCACAGATATCACTCTGTGTGTGTTTTTTTTTTTTTTTTTAAACTTTAGTGCCACTAGTAATCAGCACTGTGAGAAATATTCAAATCAGCCTCTGTGGCACCAACAGTCATGCCACAGTTGAAGTCCCTGAGAACAGCTGTTTCCTCATTACCTGCTCCTGACCTGTGACATGTTACACACTTCACTGCCACCACGTCAGTGGCCGATTGAGTGCCTGCTTGAATGAGCAGGTTTAAAAGTGTTTCTAATAAAGTGCTCAGGAAGTGTACTTTATGTTTATAACTTGTGTTTAGATGATCAGTTTAGGTCTGAAGTGAAGGCTGATGAATGATTTTGGATGAACATTGTACGGCCTGATGTAATGTGTTATTGATGTCTTAGGCTTGTTTACTTCAGGGATGTTTGTAAAAAAAGAAGAACTGGGGCTAAACTACATGGACATGAATGCTTATGTTAAATAAATAAAAGAACTTTGTGCTAAAATTCACAATTTGAATTGGTTTCTAAAACTTTGGATATTTCCAAACCCCACTGACTGAGGTGCAGACACCTCTTCACTGACTTTCTATGAAAGTCATTCGGGTAGTTGGTTTGTAATACTGCTAACGACCAAAAAACTGACGCTTACGCGCCTTGATGGAGCTGATAAGATGATCTTCACCAGATTAGAAACAAATTTTTAATCTCACACTAAAGCACAGCAGTCATATCTTTGTTTGATATGACCCTGGCGCTGCTCTTTATACTGGAGTCTTTTCTTTTTTCCAGGAGGTCACGGTCTCGATCGCGGAGTCCATACTACAGATACTGAGCGGATGGCTGGACAGCAGTACATCGGTTTCGAGCACATACTATCCAACAACAGCCTACATACAACATGGAAACATGAAGAAATGACTGCTGGCTAATAAACCAACACACAAATCTGCACCTGGATGTTCTCTGGTTTTGATCCTGTGACACCTTCAGCCCTTTTCAGACATGGATTGTTTTATTCACACTTGAAGGTCACACTGCTGCTTTCTGAGAACGATTGTGATGCCTGGCACCTGTAGCCTCAAACACTAAAGGTGTGTACTCACACTTGGCTACAGTGACTAAGAGTGGAATCTCTGTATGTGTGCTGCATGGTGCTTCCCCTTACACACAAGCTCAACATTCAGATTCCTGCTTTTCTTTTAAAGCAGAATTAAGTAAGAGAAGAATCTCTAAATATTTCCTAAACTTAGAAACAAATTTTTGATCGTGTGCAGGTTTCTGTGGTTCAGGCTTTAGTGAGGCGAACACCACAAAGATGCAGAAGGGCCATGTGCCTGCCTGTCCTTTCTAAAGCGACTGCATCATTCGACCTGCTGTGATGAATGTGATGCAGAAGGCTGCCGTGTTCAGGTGAAGGATGTCTGAAAAGGGCTCCAGTCACTAAATACAGTTAATTGGTTTAATTCCTCCTTGTAAAGACAGTCTTGTCAAATAACTAACTCCAGTTTCTCCACTTCTGCATGCTCTCCCTCTCCGTTTCCCTTTCTGAACACTTCCTCTCAGCACGGAGACATTTGTATCTACTACTAAGCAATACCTGCAGTTTGTATCCTCCTCGCTTCACAACCTCCTCCCACAGTTTGGCTTCTTTTTTTAATATGAAAACATTAAACCAAGGAACATTTTAAACGCCTCCTGTGTGACACGTCCATCTGAAACCGCCTCACAGAAAGCCGATGAAGTCAAAGTCGATGCATTTATTAAAGTGGCTGCTCTTTTTGTACCGTCCTCAGCCAGCTGTTGACAAAAGCAGAGAAGTCTTTGTTCTCAGTGATGTGGAATGTTAAATACAAATAAAATTTACTTTGAGTTACTTGCCTTTTTTCTTCTTTGTCTTCATTAATGTGACAGATTATGCACAGAATTATTTACTGAAGTCTCCGCGGGGTGAATTAAATATTTAATCCAGGATGAGCATGCTGCATGTATTAGTGTAATGTATCACCATGCATTGAGATATACCGCCTGCAGTGCGTGGAGGCGAACGGTAGGAGGCGACAGCGTTCAGCGCTTCGCTGTCACAGAGCGTCTGTGAAACTTCGGAGGTGTTTTCCACGCTGTTTGTTGAAACGCAGTGAGCAAATAACATCAACAGCTGCTCGCAAGAAAAAGCAGAAATAAATATTTCTCTGGTTCCGGTTTGGTTTCAGAGACACCTGTGGAAAACCAACGAGGTATTTCCTCTGAACTGCAGAAGAGGAACTGGTGTTTGAGACCCAGTAACGGGGTGTGAAAACCCTGATTTAGACGGGCTACTTAAAGCTGTGTAAAACAAGCAAAACCGCGAGAGGTGCTCGGGGAAGAAAAGGTTTTAAAAAGTGACAGAAGTCCGTGTCTGCCGAGCCTGTTACCCGGGGAGGGCGGGGTCAGGGCCGGCGGGGCGGGCGGTGCCTCCTCTCGCCCATGCCCCCTCTTGCCCTCCGCTCGCTGCGGGGAGAGAAGCGTGAACTTGAACGCTGCCTTCACTGCGCGCTGCGAGTCCGGGCAGAGGCCACACACCACAGTCTCATCAGCTCGGGCTTCGGACAGTAACTCGAAGCAGGAGAAGCCGGACGGGGTCCGGTTCGGTTTGGGACCCAGAAAGGTGCCAGACGCTCGACGCGATGTCCAGGCGCAAACTTGGAAGCAGACCGCAGCACCTGAGTGCGATTCAAGGTAAGCCCGGAGGGAGAGCAGCGGTAGCGGACGGATGTGATGTTATCGAGGTGAAACGAAAACACAAATCGAAGTCCCTGCTTCTTCTTCTTTTTTTCTCCTTTTTATTGGGCTTATCGGCAGTTTTGCGCGCGTGGTGTGTGGATGCGCGCTGGTACCGGTTATCGCACATTAAATGATGGACTTTTCCCCCCTCCTCATCTCACAGACTTAAAACTATATTTGTGTTTAGACCGATCTGAAGCCAAAGCTGATATTTAATCCCGTGTGCAGCCTAACAGGCAAATATTTAAATAAGAACTCCTAATGTTGGCGTTGTGTTTGTCCTGATGTGCATTGTTGGTGCAGCAGTTTCCACAGAAGAAGGACCGGTTTACTGGCACGCTGCTGTCAGCGGCTACAGGTCCGAACACGATGATTAATATCTTCAGGTTTGAAGATGATCAAGTTTCTCGCTCGGTCTCTGTCTACTTTTGAGAAGACATCACCTGCTGAAAGTCCCTCCAATAAAAGAGAGAGACTAGTCCTGCTTCAAACTATGCAGGAGTTTCTTTTAATTAAATGATAGGTTTAAATAAAGCATGTTAAATGAGGGTGGTAATTTAATCCCGATCAGATTAATCAAACATTAAAGTTTATTAAAGGAAAATGGGAAGAAAAAAAAACGTGATAACTGAAAGGAAATGGGGACAGAAACTTAAATACCATTTGTTTTTTACAGTTCTCTACTGGAGACCAGTCGTGCATGTCTGTTGTGACCACAGGCCTTGACTCAACCCTGTGTGTGTGTGTGTGTGTGTGTGTGTGTGTGTGTGTGTGTGTGTGTGTGTGAGAGAGAGAGAGAG